AAGGGTCAGGCTGAGTCCAAACCAAAGGCCAGGCAGAACAGCTCTGTCTTGCAGGCCCTGCGGAAAGATGCCAAGTCCCGCAGGGCCCTAGTCTCTTGTGACAGAGCATTCCACCAAGACGGAGCCAGTACTGAAAAGGCCTTGGCCCTAGTTGAGACCAATCTAACCACCTTGTGACCTGGGACCTCCACAGTGTTGTCATTTGTGGACCTTAAGGTCCTCCATGGGGCATACCAGGAGAGGCGGTCGCGTAGGTATGTGGGTCCTAGGCCACATAGGGCTTTAAAGGTCAAAACCAGCACCTTAAACCTGACCTTGTACTCCACTGGGAGCCAGTGCAGTTGGTAAAGCACTGGATGAATGTGATCCCGCAGCAAGGACCCTGTAAGGAGCCTCGCCGCGGCATTCTGCACCCGCTGGAGTTTCTGGGTCAGCTTCAAGGGCAGCCCTGTGTAGAGCGAGTTACAATAATCAAGTCTGGAGGTGACCGTCGCATGGATCACTGTGGCCAGGTCAGGGTGGGAAAGGTATTTCTTACCTTGAAATAGCTGAAATCAAATATAATATCGCCATATTTCTGCTGATCAGCCTTGTTTCTGAGTCGAAAAACACCCGGAACGAACTCGGAGAGTCTCAACAGTTCAGCAATGATAGCATTTCCACAAGAGACTATTCTGAGAATGGCCTGCCCGCAGTGATTATTTTCCGCTAGGAAGTCCACCATGGCGAAGAATAGTAGGATTCTTCCAAAAGTATCTTTTCAACCCAAGTTTGTACTTTCACTCTTTTAAGTTATCTGAAGGAAGATGCATTGCTGAGAGCTCCATTAATGTACCTGAAAAACAGCAACCACTGAACATATTTGACATTGCATATTCATCATTTCTCAGTTTATGATGTGTTCCCATTCTGCTACCCAACACATTTTTTTTAATTACAAGCCTGTTCTTAGAATATGTTTTTGTTCACAGCATGAACAAAACAAATATGTTCACAGCATGAACAAAACACCTTTTTCTTAAGTCAGACGAGCAACAACAGCACATTCTTCTCTGAAAAATAAGTTGAGGATACCTGCTTAAAATGAAATGCAGCCCATTGGATAAAACAGATAAAGAACTGGCAGCCCATGAGTTGTTATTAGTGCCCCCCCAACATTTTTATTTCTTTAAAAAACTGCTGTGTTAAGAATGTCTCTTTAGAAGTGGGTTATAAATATGTTCTATAGTAAATTTTATCCAGCAGGGCTTAGGAAGGAAAAGAGGGAGAAGAAATGGCCCAAACTAAAAATACGTTGGCGTTCTTAGCCTTTTACAAGAACTATATTTGATAAAAGATTCATTTCTTAGCGCCATTTTGAAGCTCTTCCTCTTACTTTGCTTTTCACAACAGCACTTCCAAGCTTTATTTCAGGAGGGTAAAACACGGATCCAGTTACACTCACAAGGAAAACGAAAGAAAAAAGTGTTTTCAAGTTGCAAGAAACAACAACAGCAATATATATATTACCGTATTTTTCGCTCTATAACACGCAACAGACCATAACACGCACGTAGTTTTTAGAGGAGGAAAACAAGAAAAAAAATATTCTAAACGAAATAGTGGATATATGATTTTTGTGGTTCATGCTGTGGCCACAGACATGTGATCTGACAGTGAGTTTGGAGTAGCCCAATGCAAAAATCCTGAGGATCCATGTGGATTCATGCTTTGTAACCACGGAGGAGGGAAGGAAGGGGAACCATGGATCTTCTGCTCACGACTGCAGCAGTTCCCCCGCCACCCGCAGGCATTCGCTCCATAACACGCACAGACATTTCCCCTTACTTTCTAGGAGGAAAAAAAGTGAGTGTTATGGTGCAAAAAATACGGTATATGTGTGTGTGTGCAGACACACACACATACATCAACGTATATATACATATACAGTGGGCGCTCAGGCTGTGAACGTGATCCGTGCGGGATGCATGCTCGCAACCCGCAGCGTTCGCAACCTGTGTCTGTGCACGCGCGGGTTGCGATTCGGTGCTTCTGCACATGTGCGACCGCTGAAACCCGGAAGTAACCTGTTCCGGTACTTCTGAGTTTTGGCAGTCCGCAACCCAAAAAAACGCAACCTGAAGTGTCTGTAACCCGAGGTATGACTGTATACACACACACACACACACACACACACATTGCATGCACGCACATAATTTCTCCTGCTCTGGAGGAGAGGACTTGAACCCAGAAAGGAGATTCTGATTAAATATCAGGAGAACTTTCTGACAGTAAGAGCTATTTGAAAATGGAAAGTGCTGCTTTTGACGCATAAAGCCTTAAACGGCTCAGGACCGCAATACCTCAAGGTCTGCCTCTCCTCATATAAACTGACCTGGACCCTGCGACCATCCTCTGAGGCCTTTCTTTGTGGGTCTCCTCCACGAGAGGTTCAGAGAGCGGCAACATGAGAACGGGCCTTTGCTGCAGTGGGGAGCCACTTGTGGGATGCTCTCCTCAGGGAGATTTGCCTGCTGCCTTCATCTGAAGACAGCCCTGTTTAGGAAGCGTTTAAGGTCTGACGTTTTGCCGTGTTTTTACTATTCCGCTGGGAGCCGCCCAGAGCGGCTGGCTCAACCCAGTCAGATGGGCGGCATACAAATAATAAAATTATTATTTTTCATAATTTTAATAAGAGAGGTCCGGAGGGTGGCAACACGAGAACAGGCCTTCTCTGCAGTGGCTCCCCATCTGTGGAATGCTCTCCTCAGGGAAGTCTTCATTGAAAGACCTACATTGGCTCCCAGTATGTTTTCCGAGCACAATTCAAAGTGTTGGTGCTGACCTTGAAAGCCCTAAACGGCCTCGGTCCAGTATACCTGAAGGAGCGTCTCCACCCCCATCGTTCAGCCTGGACACTGAGGTCCAGCACGAAGGGCCTTCTGGCGGTTCCCTCATTGTGAGAAGTGAAGTTACAGGGAACCAGGCAGAGGGCCTTCTCGGTAGCGGCTCCTGCCCTGTGGAACGCCCTCCCACCAGATGTCAAAGAGAACAACTACTACCAGACTTTTGGAAGACATATGAAGCAGCCCTCTTTAGGGAAACTTTTAATGTTTGATGCTTTACTGTATTTTAATATTGTGTTGGAAGAGTGGCTGGGGAAGCCCAGCCAGATGGGTGGGTACAAATAATAAATTATTATTATTATTATTACACACCTTTAGGAGCCAGGCAAAAATATTCCTTTTGAACTAGGGCTTTGGTTGATTTGATTGACACCCTATGCCTTTTTAAAATGTGGGTATTGTGAGGGAGGGAGGTTTATTGGATTGCTGTTTTTATTTTGATCCTATATTTTGTGCTTTGTATTTTGATTTTGTTCTGTGAGCCGCCCTGAGACCACCGGGTTATAGGGCGGTATATAAACTCGATAAATAATAACAGTGCTTTCTCTCCACCTAAAAAAAATGTTTAGGGGTACTCTCATTTTCCTACTCATATTGAAATACTGCCCCTCAATCAGGCCAAACTTAGATTCACCACATGTTTCGGGGTACGCACACCCCTGCGTACCCCCAGAAAAAACCCACTGAATAATGATAATAATCTTTAGGCCCCGGGCAAAAAAGTTCCTCTTCAACCAGGCCTCTCCTAACACTGCATGCATTTTATAAAAAGGCAGAACAGCCATACCACCTATTCCACGATTCTATAGCCTATTTTGTGTGTTGGTTTGTTTTTGGAGGGACGCGGGTGGGGCTGTGGGTTAAACCACAGAGCCTAGGGCTTGCTGATCAGAAGGTCGGTGGTTCAAATCCCTGCGTCGGGGTGAGCTCCCGTTGCTCAGTCCTTGCTCCTGCCAACCTAGCAATTCGAAAGCACGTCAAAGTGCAAGTAGATAAATAGGTACCGCTCCGGCGGGAAGGTAAACGGCATTTCCGTGCGCTGGTCTGGTTCGCCAGAAGCGGCTTAGTCATGCTGGCCCCATGACCCGGAAAAACTGTCTGCGGACAAACGTCGGCTCCCTCGGCCAGTAAAGCAAGATGAGTGCTGCAACCCCAGAGTCGGCCACGACTGGACCTAATGGTCAGGGGTCCCTTTACCTTTACCTCGGGTTACATATGCTTCAGGTTACAGACTCCTCTAACCCAGAAATAGTACCTCGGGTTAAGAACTTTGCTTCAGGATGAGAACAGAAATCATGTGGCGGTAGTGGGAGGTCCCATTAGCTAAAGTGGTGCTTCAGGTTAGGAACAGTTTCAGGTTAAGAATGGACCTCCGGAACGAATTAAGTACGTAAGCAGAGGCACCACTGTAATAATAATATTTAGGCCCCGGGCAAAAAAGTTCCTCTTCAACCAGGCCTCTCCTAACACTGCATGCATTTTATAAAAAGGCAAAACAGCCGTACCACCTATTCCATGATTCTGTAGCCTATTTTGTGTGCTGGTTTGTTTTTGGAAGGGGAGAATTTTGCAAAGCCTGCATTTGCACGGGGCAGCAATGCTTTTGGGAGAAACTGCCCCCGGGTTTCCTGTTCCAAACACGGGATCTTTTGCAGCAGAAAGTGAGAGTCGTCGCGGGGGCAGCACCCTATAATTAGAGCCTCGTTAACCGCCCTCCCCCACGCAAACAACCATTGTTTACCCCCAGGGGCCCCTGCACTTACTCGGCTTGCAGCTGGGATCTTTGCAAAGGGAGGGAGCGGCGGCTCTTCTTCTTCTGCAGCCCCGTTATTTTGCAGAGCCCAGCAGGTCTTTCGCAAGCAGCAGCAACGACCCGGGTCGACCAGCCCTTGGGGCGAAAAGGGAGAGAGGATCAGGATCCCGGAAACGCGAGGGGGTAAGCAAAGGAGCTTGCAGCAGCTGCCAAACGCCGTCGGTGCTGCAAAGCGCTGGGCTGAGCCTTCCTCCCCGCCTCGCATCACATGAGGGTTTCCCGGGTCATGTGAACAGGCGCCGGCTGATGATGAGACGCTGCCCCACCTCTCCCCACACCCACAACCCGGGGATACGTGCGCCAGGCATGCGGGGGGTCGGCCGAGGGATTAAAAAATAAGAATAAAATAAGAATAAAAAATAGGGATCTCCGCAAGGCAGCTGCAAAAAAGGAAAAGGAAAATAAAAGTGGGAGGAGGATGCATACTGCCCGCCTCCTCTTTCTCAGGAACTAAGGGGGAGGAGAGAGTCAAGGGTGCGGATCTCCAGTCATTTGTAATCTCTCTCTTTTAAAACTTATTAAATAAGGTATAAAGACATTTATTTGTTTTTAAAGTATAAAGAGAGAGGGGTGGGAATTTGCCTTCCAAGAGGACAGATTTTGCTCAGATTTTATTTTTATTGTGATGATGCTATTCTATGGTATTTTATTGTTCTTGGATATGCTGCAAGTGGCTGGGGGAAACCAGCCAGGTGGGCGAGGTATAAATAATAATAAACTTTATTATTATTATTAAGTTCCCTGCCCCGAGGAGCTTGCAGTCCGGCAGTTCTGCCCAGGAGGTGGAGAAGCTTTGGGAGCGCAGACTGGCCTTCAGGAGTCTTCTTGACCCTTTCCCCCCTATAGGTCCTAAATGCGTGGCAACAAGTTGTGGGTGGTAGTTTGAAGGGGCGGGAGGGCGGGGAGGAATTTATTTGTTGTTTTGTCGGCCTGCTTTATAAACCACGACTTTTCCACAAGTTTCCATGTGCTCATGTTTGTTGCTGCTTTGCTGCTTGGATTCTAGACCCTTGGAATCACAGTTCTGAGTTTAGGCCCTGAAGGCAGGATTGAATCTAGGTTTTGTTTTGTTGCTGTTTTTGCTTCAAAGAGATTCTCCTTTTATGTGTTTATTGGGGAAGCTGGCCTTCTTTTTACAAAACTTCTAACTGCGTGTAATCAGCACTATAGAAATTTATGCATAACATATATATATATATATATATATATATATATATATATATACACACACACACACACACATTTATATACCAGTATGTATATATATATGTAAGTATATGTATATATATATATATATATTTATACCAAAATGCTTTTTAGAACTGTGCAGCCTGAGCACAGTTAAGAAAAAGAGGTCGAAATTGGCCTCGTTAAGAAAAAGAGGTCAGAATAGGCCAATATTTATGTGGACTGTCCCCGGATCAAGTTTGCTTCTTTAGGTTCTCAGATTTTAACCTAGCTCAAGGTTAAAACTAACCAGATCAATCACATTTTTATTTTTCAGTCCATGAAAAATACGATTTGAGAGCCCTCTTGCCTCAAAATGCCGATTAGACATAGTGTTTTGGTGACTGCAACCTTGGTTTAAGAAGCCATTTGGCCGCTAAACTTCAAATGTTGAGGATAGTATAGTATGAAATTATTATTTTTTAATTTGCAGAATACGGATAGGTATTCAAGGTTGTGGGATATTCTTCTACACAGTTCTGCACTACCTATTGTTGTGATCAGGGATTTTCGACTTACAAATAGGAAAGACGGAGAAAGGGAGAGGTTTCTTTGTGTTGCGGAAGAGATGAGAGTTTGTTTGGCTCAAATTAGACCGACTATAAATGAGATCGACTAGGCGGCCCTGCCTTCCGAGAGACGGGAAAATGTGTGTGTGAATGTGCATTGGACAGTGGCACAGTGTCAGAACTGTAAAAACATACGTTATATTTTTTTTCAGGAAACACGTCCACAATGTCTGGGCGCTCTGTGGTCTCCTTCAGCGCTGTGGATGCCTGCCTTTCGTCTCTGAAAACCTGCCAGTCCAACATAAGTACCGGAATGGACATCGCTACAACTGTTGCTCTGGACCTTGTGGAAAGTAAAAGTGAGTTGTGGGTTTGTTTTGTGTTTTTGGAGTGGCTATTATTTGTGCTGTTGCGTTATTTTCTTTAAAGAAGAAACCCAGCCAGGTGGGCGGGGTATAAATAATAAAATTATTAGTATTATTATTATATTGTACCTTGGTCAGACCACATCTGGAATACTGTGTCCAATTCTGGGCACCACAATTTAAGAAGGATGTTGACAAGCTGGAATGTGTGCAGAGGAGGGCAGCCAAGATGATCAAGGGTCTGGAAACTAAGCCTTATGAGGAACGGTTGAAGGAGCTGGGTATGTTTAGCCTGGAAAAGAGGAGACTGAGAGGAGATAAGAAAGCCATCTTCAAATATCTGAAGGGCTCTCATATGGAAGATGAGCAAGCTTGTTTGCTTCTGCGCTGGAAGCTAGGACTCGGACCAGTGGCTTCAAGTTGCAGGAAAGGAGATTCAGACTAAACGTTCGAAAAAACTTTGACAGTAAGAGCTGTTCAGCAGTGGAACAGACCTCCTTGGGAGGTTGTGGAATCTCCTTCCTTGGAGGTTTTTAAGCAGAGGTTGGATGGCCATTTGTCATGGATGCTGTAGTTGAGGTTCCTGCATTGCGGTGGGTTGGACTAGATGACCCTTGGGTCCCTTCCAACTCGAAGATTCTATGATTATAAAGCTTTAGTTGAGTGTTAGAATGCAAATGGGGCCCTGGATAAACGTTCAGTGCTTCCAAACAGCAGTAGCTGTTTAGCTTTGTTAAAGTGCACTTCAAAGAAGTCGTAGTGTTCCATCCTGACACGTAAATTCTCCCCCCTCCATTGTGAATTGCATTTTGAATCAGAACCAGACATAAATCTGATCAGGAATGTGGCTTCTTTTGTGCTGCAAAATGCAAGCTCAGTTCTGATTAAGGCTGGGCGATACCGGGTTTTCAACATTGCGCTTATACACCACCAGCTAAACATCGCAATATATCGTGATGTCTGAAAAAAGGATGCAGGTTTGTAGAGGCATTGGTTGGCGTCACAGTTTCCCCCACATTGCGGTTTTTGCATAGCACACACGCATCATAATTTGCGATATATTGCCAAGTCAAAAATTATGAAACCAACAAGATGAATTTTAACAGGGAGAAATGTAAGGTATTGCACTTGGGCAAAAAAAATGAGAGGCACAAATACAAGATGGGGGACACCTGGCTTGAGAGCAGTACATGTGAAAAGGATCTAGGAGTCTTGGTTGACCACAAACTTGACATGAGCCAACAATGTGACGCGGCAGCTAAAAAAGCCAATGCAATTCTGGGCCTCATCAATAGGAGTATAGCATCTAGATCAAGGGAAGTAATAGTGCCACTGTATTCTGCTCTGGTCAGACCTCACCTGGAGTACTGTGTCCAGTTCTGGGCACCACAGTTCAAGAAGGACACTGACAAACTCGAACGTGTCCAGAGGAGGGCAACCAAAATGGTCAAAGGCCTGGAAACGATGCCTTATGAGGAACGGCTAAGGGAGCTGGGCATGTTTAGCCTGGAGAAGAGGAGGTTACGGGGTGATATGATAGCCATGTACAAATATATAAAAGGATGTCACATAGAGGAGGGAGAAAGGCTGTTTTCTGCTGCTCCAGAGAAGCGGACACGGAGCAATGGATCCAAACTACAAGAAAGAAGATTCCACCTAAACATTAGGAAGAACTTCCTGACAGTAAGAGCTGTTCGACAGTGGAATTTGCTGCCAAGGAGTGTGGTGGAGTCTCCTTCTTTGGAGGTCTTTAAGCAGAGGCTTGACAACCATATGTCAGGAGTGCTCTGATGGTGTTTCCTGCTTGGCAGGGGGTTGGACTCGATGGCCCTTGTGGTCTCTTCCAACTCTATGATTCTATGATTCTATGATTCTATGATTCTATATGGACTTCAGATCGGTTTTTGACAATATATCGCCCAGCCCAAACACACACCATGATTCATGATATATTACCAGGTGAAATTTTTTTGAAACCGATATCGCCATATGGACTTCAAACTGGTTTTGGGTGATATATGAATATATCGCCCAGCCTTCGTTCTGATGTAGCTCTCCCTGGTGTTTCTATGTTCAAAATTACTGTTTTTCACTGGGCATTGGCATTTAAGCTTCTAAGGGTTAGTCATTGTGTAGAAAGATGCCCACTTGCATTGAAAAGTCAGAATGTTGGGTGCACAAAACTGACTGTCACTGTGTGTTCAGATTAGGCTTGTGTGCTTTTGACTAGCTGTTGGTGGACCCCCAGATGGAGAGGGGAGACTCTCTATGGAGGTTTTGGGGACCTCCCCAGGGAGGGTTTGCCAGGGCATGAAAACATCCTACAGTGGTACCTTGGTTCTCAAACGTACTCTGTTCTGGAAGTCTGTTCCAAAACCAAGGTGCACTTTCCCATAGAAAGTAATGCAAAATGGATGAATCGGTTTCAGACTTTTAAAAATAACCCTTAAAACAGCAATTTAACATGAATTTTACTAACGAGACCAATGATCCATAAAATGAAAGCAATAAACAATGTACTGCAGTCACACAATCAATCCATCAGTAGCTGAACTGGGTTCCACACAGTCACAAAAACAAAACTAAAAGAGGCACAAAAATAAAAACTCAAAATAAATAGCAAAAACAGACAGACCTCAGCGTAACACTCAAAACGGAAGCGTGGCACTCAAATCGGAAGCATTCAGCTTCCAAAAAAAGTTCGCAGAATGGAACACTTACTTCTGGGTTTGCAGTGTTTGGGTTCCAAGTTGTTCGAATACAGAGGCGTTTGAGAACCAAGGTACCACTGTACACAGTTTCCCTAATGTGCATCGTACTGGGACAGTTTGGCTATCGATGGGAGTTGGTCGGGGTGGCTGGATGTTAACCCCAGGGTTAGAGTTCCTGGTAAACAACAGCAGGAGAGGGATATTATGCCTGTGGGAAACTTGTAGGATAGCCCAACCTTAAGTTGGGCCTGAACGCAGCCCTCCAAGTCTTTCCCCAAGCCATGGACTTTGATTCACATCTTCCTTGAGCATTTTTGCCTGGCTGGAACGTGCCCTTTAACTCTGATAAAGACTTGTGCTTGGCTTACGCTATGGTCTGGTTGGACGCGGAGAAATGGTGGGAGGAACCAGCTGGGGAGACCCCAAGGGAAGATGGCTCAGAGCCTTGGCATTGGTGGTGGGATGGCGACGATCGGTCAGAGGAAGAAGATGGGGAGGAGGAGGCGTCGGAAGCTGAAGAGGTCCCAGGGCTTCGTGAGCGGGGAGAGTGTGTGGCAGAGAGAAGTCTGGAATCAGAGGCAGAAGCTGAAGCAGGAGAGTGGGAGGAGGGAGTCCAAGAGGCAGAGGTGAGTCCGACTGCTGAAAGTCACAGGGGTTGGTCAGAATCAAGGACTGTCGTACCTCGGCTCACGAACGCCTTGGGAGTCGAATGTTCCGGCTCACGAATGATCGAAAACCGAAAGTGAGTGTTCTGGTTTTCAAACGTTCTTTTGGAAGCCGAACATCTGACAGCGCTTCCGCGGCTTCCAATTGGCTGAAGGAGCTTTCTGCAGCCAATCGGAAGTTGTGCTTTGGAAGTCGAACGGACTTCCGGAACAGATTCTGTTCGACTTCCAAGGTACACTTCTAGAGTTACTTCTGCTAAATGAGCCATTGTAGGTCAGTGAAAATTAGTCTCCCGCAGAGTGGATTTGATTTAAATTACGGTTTAAATCATGATTTATATCACTAGTCGGTAAGACTTGATTTAAATCCTTTTTTTTTTTAAAGCAGAAAGACTCATTCTTGCTGGTATAATCTTAATATTTACAACCAGATGAAGGTTCCATTTTTGGAATAATAGATTTTCAGAGTACTTTTTACAGTTATATCAAAAATTACTGATTTGGTTATGCCATTAAAAATACACAGACAGAAAATTATGAAATTATTGTGAGGCTTAATAAGTTAACTGTTATATTTGGACAACTTTTCTGCTGTACTTTTTATTGGAAGGATCATTTCCTTAATAACAATTTAAACAATTTATTTAACTAAAACAATAACATTATAGCATATGTTTCCATGTTTGTTAACTGATGTGGTTAAACATTTTTAAAAAAAACAAAAACAAAACTTAGACATGAAAAACTTAAAACAAATCCTTATTTCCTGATGGAATAGCCTTTCGACTATAATGTAACTTAAATAGAAAAGTACCTTTAGAAAGATTTTTTTTCCTCCGAAAGCATTTTATTTTAAAAATCTGATTTATTTATTTTTTAAAAAATCATTAAAAAAATAATTGATTTTTATCCACCCTGGTCTCCCGGGCCTTTTAGACTCTCCTTTCCATGTACTATCTGAAATCAAAGGGTTGGTTTTTGCCTGATGTGATGTATTTTGGCATTCTTTTCCACTCATCTACTCCACTAATAATATGAGTCTGAGAAGAGGGGACCATCTTAGAACGGAAAAAACTTTTCAGAGCCTTTTTGAGTAAAGGGCAGGAAAGAAATCCTGTAAATCAATAAATATGAATGGATAATAAAAGTTTCTTTTTTGCAAATCATCTTTATTGGTTTCTTTTAGTTTACACCCATAGCTTCACATTATAACATCTCAGTTCTCCTATGGCTAAACATGTATTTCTAAATAATAATAAAGAAAACATAAACAAAAATTTGTGCTTAATTGCTTGATGCATTCGCATTCCTTTATACTTGACTTCCTTCCCCTTCTTACTTGGGTCCTATGTTTTACTTATTTAAATGCCTCTCTTAGCACGTCTATGAGTTTGCTTTCCTACAGTTTTTCCATGATATTTTAGTATTTTTTCTTATTTAAAAGACCCCCTGAGTCTTTTAAATATTGTTTGACTATGTTCCAATCTTCTTTAATTTTTTGTTTTGTTTGATCTCTTATCTGCCCAGTCAACTTGTCCATCTCCGCGTACTCCATTAATTTGGTCAACCAAATTAATAAGAGTCTAATAAAAGTTTCTGTACATTTTGAGGCAAGGTA